TTTGGCAGGAAAACACTGAGATTTGGATCAAGAATACCCCCTGCAGATTCCTGGGCCTGCAACAAACGCACTCCTGTCTTTTTGTCGATTAATGCCTTCTTCATCGCCTCAAACACTGATAGAGATTCTCCAGTGTGAGGATCCTTGAATCCGACAGCTGCAGCTTCTGCTGCTAAGAGTTTGTCTTGATCACATCTGTCAACTACTCCCCGTGCACAAGCCTCTTCGACTGTCAATTTCTGATTTGTCATTGGGTCAATGATGTGACCTGTGGCTGCCTGGGCTTCCAGAATCAAATCTGCACTCTCTGGCGGCATGAGCATCTGTTTCTTTGCCTCTGAAACATTCATTTTTCCTAAAGACCCTATTGTGACACCAGCAATGGATCCTGTTCCTTTTAGGGGTATCTTTTTATCCACAGATACTTCTGGAACAGTTTTGTCTCCCTTCATTAGTTCGTTCAAAGTTGGTTTGTCCAGTACCCCACAATCAAACAACTGCTTTGCTGTTACAGGCTTTCTTACACCATCAAAGATCAATTTTGAAGGATCTAACTTTTCAGGGATAGGTAAAAGTAACAAACCTGTATGTGGTTCTATCTTGCAACCTTCTTTCAGTGCTTGATAGCTGACATGTTGCTCTGTTTCAGGGTCAACATAATATTCAGGCTTCTGGTTTAGAGCTTTACAGAGATTTTTATCTAAAAGATTGTGTTTAATAGCTGTGTCTCTTGGTAGGAATACACTAAAATTAGGATCAAGGATTCCTCCAACTGACTCTTGAGCCTGCAGAAATCGTATTGCAGTCTTTTCATCTATAAGTCCGTTTTTCATGAGCTGAAAAACTGAAATGGGTTTGGATTTATTAGGATCCTTATAACCAGTTGCTGCAGCTTCTGATGCCAATAATCTGTCCAGGTCATTTATGTCCACTACTCCCTTTGAATAAGCCTCTTCAACAGTCAACTTTTTGTTGGCCTTTGGGTCAATTATGTGACCAGTAGCAGCCTGTGCATCAAGTAGCAAATCTGCGCATTCATCGGACAGTAGCATTTGTTTTTTTGCTTCAGTTAGGGACATTTTACGCTGACCGCTTACTATAACACCTGCTATTGGCCCAGTGCCCTTTAAATTAACAGTTTTGTCTTCAGAAACCTCAGATATTGTTTTCTTTCCATTTTTAAGAGCTTTATATGTTGGCTTGTCAAGAACCTGACAATCAAACAGATTCTTGGCAGTAACAGGTTTCCGAACGCCATCAAATACAAGGTTAGAAGGATCCACTTTCTCAGGAATAGGGAGAAGACAAAGACCTGTATGTGGCTCTATTTTACATCTTCTTTTCATTGCCATATAGGTCACACCTTCTTCAGTTTCTGGGTCTAGATAGAGCTCTGGCCTCTGATTCAGAGCATTACACATGCTTTCATCAATGAGGTTACGCTCAGTGGCAATGTCTCTAGGGAGGAACACACTAAGTATAGGATCCAAAATCCCCCCAACAGACTCCTGGGCTTGTAACAGACGCAGAGCTGTATTTTTGTCAATAACTCCCTGTTTCATTGCCTGAAACACTGACAGTGGTTTGTTTTTGCCAGGCTCAGCGTATCCAACAGCTGCCGCTTCTGCTGCAAGTAACCTCTCTTTGTCCTCATCATCAATAACTCCTTGATTATATGCTTCTGTCACTGTTAACTTCTGATTGGTTCTTGGGTCAATGATGTGCCCTGTAGCAGCTTGTGCATCGAGAAGTAAGTCGATGCTATCTGGTGGAAGAAGATTTTCTTTCTTGGCTTCAGTAAATGTCAGTTTGAAAAGTGGCTTAATGCTAAACCCTGGACCTTTTGGACTTTCAATTATCACCCCAGCTATTGGCCCTGTGCCTTTAAGAAGGACTTTTTTCTCAGCAGACACTTCTGGAACTGTCTTATGTCCCTTCAGAAGGTGGTTATATGTTGGTTTGTCTAAAACTCCAGAGTCAAGTAATTGCTTTGCAGTGACTGGCTTGCGGACTCCATCAAAAACCACAGAGGAGGCATCTGGGGTTGGAGGCTCTCTAGTCTGCTTTAGCTCAGTCTCCATGGTCTGTCTAACAATTGTCCCATCATGCAGTTGTTTTTGGAGGACTGATAGTCTACTCTTATATTTCTCCTCAAGTTCCCTGTGTTCTTTCATCAACCTCTCTATCTCACTTTTTAAGGATTTCTTATCCTTCTCAAGAATATCCTTGTCAGTGTCATACTGCCTTATCAAACTTTGTTTGCTATCACATTGATCCTTCCAAAAATTCAAATCTCTCTTCCCCCTCTCAATGTCCTCTTGTAGACGTTGCTTGTTGCGAAGCTCTAACTCGTGGGAATGTTTCATGTGGTTCAGTTCTTCCTGTAGTCTTAGCATTTGCTCTTTGTCAAATTCAAACCGTTGCAATTTCAGCGACAAAGAATCTTTTTCACTTACAATCTCACTGTACTTGGACTGAAGGGACTGTAATGATGTGTGTGTCTGCAGAAGATAAAAAGAAGAAGAAACAATAACAAATCATTAGTTACTTTATAAATTTTACATTAGATTAAATACATTGTTCATTTTGGTCATTGACTCGGTGACATTTATATATTGACAAATACCACACATACGCTTTTCATCTATGGAAAGAAAAATAACAAAAAACTAGAGTTATGCATTTTTACAAGTAGCCTGACTTTCCTGTCCTATACGGTTTTTTTTGTTTGTTTGTTTGTTTTTTTAATTTAGCAACTTTTTACTTAGTTTTAGTCCTGTACCTGGCCATTTTAAGAGGAATGTTTTAGATTATTAGATTAGTTCAACAAATAAAAGGCTATTAAAGGCTTCTATGCATATGGGACACTGAAGTGCTGTGACAGTCCAAAACCCTTGCAGTACTATGTAAAGCCCTTTTCTAAGCAAAACATTTTTTTACACATATTACCAATATTATAGCAGCCAGATTTCTTAGCAAAATGAAAGAAATTAAACACATTACCCCCACTTTAGAGGCTCTTCATTAGCTGGCACTAAACTTTTATTATAATTATTTAAAATTTTATTGATGTCTTTTCAAGATGGCTCTAGAACTGAATGACAATTCACACACATTTCCACCATAAATTTGTTGTTGTAACCCGAGATCCTCAGCTAAGGCTCTAATGGTCATATCACAACTTTAGTTTAGAAAACAAGGGGATCAATTTTTTTAGTTAGGGCAACATTTGTATTGGAATAATTTGCTAGAGGAGATAAAATTTAATTAATTTAATTAACCTGGTTACAAAATAATTTTATTAATATTGCTGTGTATTGCAGACTTCTGCCCAGATCCCTCTTGAAAATGAGATCTGGATCTCAACAGGGTTTACCTGGTTAAATAAAGGCAATGAAAATAAAATTAAGTAAAATAAATTACAAAGTCATTTTCATTTTTCAAATCCTTCTTAAATGGATAGTTTTAAATGTGGGCTTTTTCTGTGTCTGAGGTAACATATGTCTTCTGGATACCTAAGGTTTGATCATCTTTAAATTAATGGCCATAACTTAAACATTATGTTTACCTTTAACTATTTCTGAATATTTATTTTTGATTCAAAGTGGTATTTAACTTTTATTGAAAGGTCTTAATAAAATGTGTTATTATTATTATTATTATTATTATTATTATTATTATTATTATTATAGAGGTACATTGAGAAGATATGTAGGCCTAAATTTAAAATTCTGCACAGTACTTTGTGCTTTGAAATTTTGGCTGTACCTTAAATAAAAGTAACAAATTTTTCATCGCATTATACATTTTTGCTTTCACTGTAAATATTTTTATCTTATTTTATTCTTTTTGTAACTGCAATTTAGAACTTAAAAAAGTCAAAGTCGACAATGATGCAATAAATAAAAAAGCAAATATATGTGTGATATGCAATTTTTAGCTGTCTTCCTAAGATGACAAAATAAAAAAAGCAATACTACAAATTACTCTGCTAAAATAAGAAACCACATTTAAATCACTCACTCCCACACTGACTATTTTCAAGAGAATGAAGAAACAATACTGAATCTGCAACATGAAGCAAGCTCAACTATAGAAAATTTGAATACTACTCTATAAATTTGCAAACCAACATTGATATATAAAACTAGTAGATTGGTGTCATTCAAGACAATGTGTCTGAAATAGTTTAAACATTTACATGTTAAATGCTTGTCATTGCTGTTTTGCAGGTTTGGAAAGATTTTTAGGCAGATGAGATCACATGACAAAATCAACAATAATCAAGCTGGAGCAAAGCAGAGAATTGCAGTGGCAATGCGACATAATTGATCAGTCTGGGAAATCAGAATTGAAGACCACAAGCATGCATGTTTGCAAACTGTGGAGAGTGAGAAGGCGATATCAGCAGAGATTGTTTGCATGCAAATAAATGACATGTAAGGTATTTAAACACACACTGAAGTATGTGTTCAAATCAGTTGGCATCTGACGGGAACTAATGGATTTTGCATGCAAGCAAAGGCTAAGGCTACTTAGAGCTTGCTAAGTAGATATTCCAAACACACAACAAAGGAATATCTATTCTCATCCTGAAAAGATGAGACTAATCCACGATGAAGAGGCAAGCTTCCATGTACCTCTGCGACCTGCTTTTGAATTTTCTCAGCCTCCAGCTTCAGTTTCTCACGTTCAGAGGACAGTTCTGACACCAGGTTGCGGTGTTCGGCATTGCTGCACTCACTGGCTTGCAGCTGTAGTTCCAAGGCAGTAATTTGTGAAGAGAGTTCATCGTCAATCCCCTTTTTGGATTTCAAGAGTTCTTCTTTATCCTGTCGCACTGCCCTCAGCTCCTTTTTCATCCTCAACTCTTCTTTGGTCTGTGTTTCTATCAACTCTTTAAGTCTTTTTAGCTCAGACGAGTTCTCACTGAGAGCCTTATTCTTCTCCTCAATAGTTTTGTAAAGACTCTCGTTTGTCATGTTTGCCTCCTTCGCCCGGGACTGTTCCTGCAGAAGTTGCTGCTGTATGGTTTTCAGCTCAGCACCTAGCTGAGTATTTTGGTCTAAGAAGCTCTGGTTTAGTCTCAAGGTTTTCTCAAGCTTTTCTTTTAGCTGAATGCACTCCTTTTCACCTCTACTTTCTGCTATGCTGGCCTGTTCTTGGCTCTGGCGCAGTACAGTGATGGTGTTTGTGTACTCAGTCATAGTCAGAGTGGTCTTTTCTAATTCTGCTTCTACCTGCCTTCTCTTGCCTAACTCTTCTTGATATGGTTTCCTCAGATTCTCCACCTGACTTTCAAGGCTATCTCTCACGCCCTGCAGGTCTTTGATGCGTCCCTGCAACCTGCTCATATTTTGCTCCATCCTACATCGCTCCTTTTTCTCTCTTTCCAGTTGGAAGCGTGTCTGAAGAAGCTGCTCCTCGCACTCCCTCAGTTGCGTTGCAGCCTCTGAAGAACTGTTCAACTCCATTTGTAGCTGAGCTAAAGACTGCTCAAGAACCACCTGTGCCTCCTCTGATGTCTTCCTCCTACGAGTCTCCTCTTCCAAACTGTGAGTAACATAAACCAGTTGGCCATTCTTCTCCTCTAGGGTCTTTATGATTTCAGCCAACTCCTCTCTATATTGGTTCCTTTCTTCATCTCTCTGCCTCATTAGCAACTCCATTTGACTTTCTAACTCTCTCCTCCTGTGCCCGTCCTCTATCAGCATAGCACGCTGATTACACGATTCCTCCTCTGCCTTCTTCTTCTGCTCTTCAGTCTCACTGATAAAAGTTCTAAGCCTCCTGAGTTCATCTTCCAGATTTCTCCTCTCAGTCTCCATTCTTTCATATTGCATCTGTAGTTCAGCTGTATTCTCATCCCTCTGGGCAGAAAGCCTCTGGATGTCTGTGCGACTAATTTGGATCTGGGATTCATAGCTGAGCTTTAAGCTGTTGATCTCCATACTGAAATTGCTCCTTACCTTTGACATCTCTTTTTGAAGATCCATCAACCTTGTTGATTCATTAGCCAGCTTCTGGAGCAGCTGCTGAATCTCATGCTCTTTATTTGCTAAACTGTTTTCCACATCCTTCTTGGACCTGCAGACCGTGTCCAGCTCTTTCTGCCTCTGATTCAGTACAGACTCCCACTCGTTTTTCTGCCTGTTGTAGCCCTCCTCAGCCAGCTTTGCCTTCCTTCTCTCGTCATCAAGTTTGTACTCGAGGCGTTGAACCTCACTTTTGAGCTTAGCCAGCTCGTCCTGAGTGGAATCTAAGCTGTCCTTGGTGGCACTGCACTGCATCACAGTTTTTTGCTTTATCTCTTCCACTGACAGCAACTGCTCTTGTGATTGAGACAGCTGCAGCTTGAATTGAGCAACAGCATCTTCCAATGATTTGTTTTTGGCATTGCGTGCTTCCATTTCTTCTCTCAGAGAGCTAAGTTGATCTCCAAGCATATTTATCTGGGTGTTTCGCATCTGGAAATACGACAAAGCAAGAATTACACATTAAGCATTTAAATGGGAACTTTTGCTGATATTTTTTATAATTTCATTGCAGTAGCAACAAGTACAATAAGACCACAATACCTTAAGCTCCTCCATGTTTTTTTCCAACTGTCCCAGGAATTTGTAGTAGTCACCAGACAGAATAAGCAGCTCCGTGTAACGAGTTTGAAGATATATTGCCTGGAACCAATGAAAAAAAGTAGAAGTGACATCTCTATTCACCACGGAGCGAAACCTTATGAGAATAAACGACTACCTCTTTGTTAAGATCCATCAATGGTGACTGAAGCATTGTCCTCTTGATGGGGACATTGAGCAATGTTTCCAACCCAGAGGTGTAAGAGGCGAGGTCTGTTTCATAGTCCTGCAAGAAACTCATACGTAAGACCAGAAAGCAGACATTTTTCAATGTAGGATGCAGGCACATGTAGCTTACCTTGATAGTATTCACACATGTGTTTATGTTTTGCAGTACACTGTCTAGTGTCTCACGCTTTGCCTTAATTTCTGTGTTCAGGACCTTGAAAAACCAACAAAATATAGATACCACAGATAAAAATGAGATGAAAATGGACCTTAATTGCAAGAAAACATGTCCATTCAAAGCAGCAAAGGCATGAACAAAGGACCTTTTGGTTGGTAATGTGGTCTTTTACTGCTTGAACGTTCTCTAGCTTGGTTGCCTGTAGTGCGTCCTGTTTTTTACGCGTGGCCTCTATCCACTCAGTGAAAGAAGTGTAGACTTGCTGGTAGTGCTGTAATTGAGGCAGATACAGCTGCAAATCCTGCAGCCTGAGCAAAGAGAATGAAACAAAACTTAACTTAACTTAACATGTACATATGGAATGCCAGATCTTTTAAGTCAAAAGTATTTTTGTTATACTTCGTACAAACTGAAGGAAACAAGCTCTACCTGATGTCAATCTGTTTCTGGATTCGTCTCCAGCGGTCAGAGAGCAAGCCCACCTGCTCGGTGAACTTTGACAGCATCAGGTCACACCTGTGGAAGGAGCCGCCCAGCTGACTGTTCCAGTGGCTCGCCTTAGACAGCTCTGACTCCATAGAGGTCAGAACATCTTGTTTCTGCATCAGCTCTGCTTTCATATTCTACATGACAACATAACAGGACAAGTCAAAAAATCCTTGGCTGCATTAGCTGAAGAAATATTTCTAACGACTAACTTGAAAGAATTAAACAACAAAGTAGCATTACACATCACAGCTACTGCATTATTTTACTGAGAACTTAGAGATTCCCTGTAAAGGAACTGGTTTACTGGTTCCTTTAGCAGTGTTGCTTTCTGACTCACTGGTCTCATCTCGTCCTGAGCTGGACTCTGTAGACTGAGACACCTTCTTTGTGTTCTCAGGGCTTTCCTGACTTTAGCAAGTACTTTCATGAATTCCCCTGGTGCACACTCAGTGATATTACTGAAGTACTTTTATAAGACAGACAGAGTCGAGGCTGCTATCCACCAGGTTCTCTGACCACAACCAGCAGGCAAGGTGTGTGAAGTGTCTTGCCCAAGACTGTAGGACGAACTCCTACCACCATCACCAACATCGCCCCAAACAGTACAAACTATATTGCATAGAACAAAAAAAAAAAAAAAAGGGTATTACTCTAAGTCTATGGATATATAGCATTGCCAAGAATACCTTCAGGGCCTCTATGTATGCACCGACTTCAGCTGGAGATAGAGAAGTGGTCTCTTTTTCTGTCAGTCTTGCTTCATGAACTTTGACAATGTCCTCAGCTCGTGCTACGCTCTCCAGCATGACCCTTAGAGCCTGCAACCTAAAAAAAGGTAGAGAGCCATATAACAAGAATGAGATACCATAAAAATCCTGTTTAAAAGTTATCTATGTGGGAGGTAGCCTGTATCTAATATAAACCAATATTTCTATTGCTTTTAATTTATTTTCATATATATATATATTTAAATTTATCTAAGTTATAATTTCTAATTTCAATACAATAGTTTGATTTAATGTCACAACTAAAGCGCCTTTAGTTATAGTAATAATATAAATAATATCACATAGCTAGAACAGTTGGGCTTTATGTCTTACAATAAAATGATAAAAATTAATTAAATGACTTTCATAAGTTTGCTCTATCTTATTGTGGTGTTAGGTGTCCTTCAATAATCCGTATTTGGTCCCTAGATATTTTATTTGGATATGCAGCAAAAATAGTTTTCTTCAAAATAAAACAATTAATGCAATGGCAACATCTTATATGTACTTAATTTGAATACTAACTCAGTGTTTCAGACTTAAAGCAGACCCCAAATAAATGCTTGATTAAATTCAGGAAATGTATACGGACAATTGAACCAGAAATGTTTAATCGCAATCTTTGTCTTCTGCTGAACTGAAAACATGGATTCAGTACATACCTGAACTTCAATAACTAGAAACCTTTATAAATACTTATTAGAAATATTTTCATTTTTAATGCATTATCTAACTGTGTTAAGGATTGACTAGGTTTATTTCATATAAAATGGTTGATATTCTCATGAAATGTAATTACTTCAAACATTATTTGTTGAGCATAAAGTTAATAAATCCAAGTAATGTTTAAGGTGACCCACTAAAATCACTGTGGAGTTCTGGATGTAAATAATTTTCTCTCCATTTGAACCATATTAGTGTGTTCAAGCCAGTGACTATTTGATGTGTTGTCATTCACGACAAACCGGATGTCTCTGATACAGAAGTGACTGTAAAAAAATGTAAATCCTTTTTAAAATGTAAATTTTAACCAGAACCCTATGCATAATATTCTCCCTGCTATCAATTCACTTTAGAAGATTTTCAATAAATCAATGCATGAAAAATATTTTTCTAAATACAAGTTTCAAGCTGTTTATAAGTCAAAATATTGTATAAGTACCGGGAACCCTGATATATATATATATATATATATATTTTTTATTTTTTTTTCTTAACTTTTCTAAGATGTTGTACTCAAATCAGTTATCGTCCCCTTAATATTTCAATGTTCAAAATATCTTTTTCCAACTGAAGTCAACTTGTGTTTTTAGGCCTTTTACAATTTCCTATATGTTTTCTTATAAATGTCAACAGTTAAAGCAGTCCATCAATAACCTAAAAAACTTTTTAGATTATGAATAGTGCATTATGTCATGAATTATGCATGACAAAGAAGCTGATTTGGTTGTCTAACACATAAATGTTTCATTTATAAGCATCTTTATAAGAATCTTAAGGCCTCCTGTCTCACCTAATAAGCTTTGGTAAGATGTTTGGGGTGTGTTTGTGTTGGGTACCTTAGTACATAAGCAGATGAGCTGCTCTCCAGATTGCCCAGTTTCTGGCTCATCACTGCGATCTCATTGCGGAGGAACTGTGCTTTATCTAAATCGTTAGTGGTTTCCATCTCCTTCAAGATGCGCTCTCTTAAATGTGTATACTCTTCACGCATTGAGGAAACATCGTCCTGTATTGACTAAAACAAAAGCAAAAATTTTGACATATGAGGAAACTCAAATATATATATATGTTTTTATATATATGGGATTACTTTATGCTTCCAAATTCCTACATCTGTATATTTACCTCGAGCTGAGTGATCTTCGCACCACAGTCTTTAGCCCCGTCATCTCCAAAGCAAATATGAACAAACTGACTGAGTGAGCCCTCAGCAGTGTCCATCCTCAGTCTGAGGCCATGCAGCTCAGATAAAAGACGAGATGCCGAGAAGAGCGCAGAAGAGGAGGAGGAGGAGGAAACTTTTCTCCTTTGCTCCGTTTTTGTTACTTTCACCACTTCCTTCTTGATCACTTGCTCCTTCTCTGCCGCTTCTTTCTTTGCCTGCCTTTTAAGCTCTGCTTGACGTCTTTCTTCCTCCAGCCTTCTGGCCTCCTCCTCTGCTGCGGCTTGTTGCTGTTGTCTTTGTAGCAGTAGTTGTTGCTGTCTTTCCTGCTCCTGTTTTTGTAGCAGTAGTTGTTGCTGCCTTTCCTGCTCCTGTTTTTGTAGCAGTAGTTGTTGCTGCCTTTCTTGCTCCTGTTTTTGTAGTAGCAGTAGTTGTTGCTGCCTTTCTTGCTCCTGTTTTTGTAGTAGTAGTAGTTGTTGCTGCTTTTCTTGCTCCTGTTGCTGCTGTAGTAGAAGTAGTTGCTGTTGTTTTTCTTGCTGCTGTTGTAGCAGAAGTACTTGTTGCTGTCGCTGCTGTTCCTGTTGCTGAAGTAGTAGTAGTTGATGTTGTTGGGGTTGTTGTTGTATTATGAACAGCTGTGGCTGAGCAACCTGAACTTGTTGCTCAGGTATTTGCTGTACTTCTATTTGTTCCTGATGTCCAGCTGTGGGGAAACAGAACATTTATTTGTTTTGCCTTTTGGAATAAAAAGAAAAATTGATTTGAACATTTTAAGATATTATACCTAGTCAAGTTAAAGTCATTTAGTCTTCTTGCCATTAGAAATGCAATATTGAACAGACTCCACAGCACAATTTTTAAGATACTCACTGTACGTGGGCAGCTGTACCACTAGCTTGTCATAGTGGGCCTGAGCCACAGTAACCTGATCCTCAATGCTCTTCTTGTCTTCATCAACAAACATCTCTGAGCCATGGCTGCTAATTCTGAACTCCTCATAGAAGGTCTCCAGCTTCTTCATGATTTGACGGTACTCCTCAGGACGCATCTCGGACAACTAAACAACAAACACCAAGGACAATGGGTAACTTAGACATGTGTTGCGAATTAAACTTAATTTTAAAAGTTTAATATTTTATAACCTCTAAAATCATACAAACTTTCAACTTTTAAAACACTATGGAAATGAAGTAGGGACAAAAATCGTCCAGTTTCTTAACCCTCCCACGGTTTTACGAGACAAGGTCATTTGAACCCCACAAACTTTTTACTCTGTTGTTTGTAACAACTTGTATTTGGAATGACATATTCCAAATCCCAAATAGTTTTGAAATTTGTTCATTTAACATTAAAAACACATGGTTATGTCAGTACATAAATCTTATGAACATAAGTTCTCTTTAATGTACTTGTTTACATTTAGTTTAATATCTCAGGTTGTCATATTAGAGAATGAAAAATTCTTCATATTTTATTGTTTAATATTCTTAAATTCCTTACCATAGAGATGGTGAGGGAGTTGACGTAATTGATTTCTCTGAGACAGTAGTGCCAGGAGATGAGACTCTTGACGTTGATGTACAGCTGATTCCAGATGGACATGATGGAATCGAAATACTGCTCGTTCCTTTACGTAACATAGAAACGAAAGTAAACATGTTGAAAATTTCTTTCATAGTCTTTATAAATGTTGTAAAAGAGCAAACCATTTCTGTTTCTTACTTGTTGGCTAGGCTGATGCTCAGTGGATTAGGCGGTGGTACAATCAGGCACACGGAGGGAATCAACATGTCGATCCCTCCTGGACCGGTTACCAGCCATTTACTGCGCTGACTGTTGTCTTTCAGAATGGCCTCGTTGTCTTTAAGGATAGTTTTCTGCGAGGATGAACAAAAATATATTTCTTATGGTGAAATAAGAAATATGTTTATTTCACAAAAAAACTTTTTTGTGTGCGAAATAAACAAATAAAATACAATATCGCTTCTTTTTGTAAAGTCTTGACATAAAACTCCCAGGTTTTTTTTAAGTTACACTTGTATACTATCAAATCAAGCATCATAAAAGTGACCTGGTCTTCTCTGAAGTCAGTCAGAGCCTTAACGATGATGCCACTGCTGTTCTTCTCCTCTGGGTTTCGGGGTTTCAACCTCACAATACTTTTTGATTTGGCAGTCAAGTGTTTCACCTGCCGCTTGTTCTCCATGATGTTGTCCCTCTCCCTCTGTAATAAATAAGCAATTATAAATCAATAATAGAATGAAAAGCAGAGTTGCATTTCCCTTTTTACAATCACGTGATTTCTCTCATCTCCTTCTTGAAGACTACAAATCCTCCAAATTGAATTGCACAACTGTGCAACTTTCAATACAGCTTCCTACACAGCAGAAAATAAACGTACCTCCAGGCCTTTAAGGAGCTCCTGAAGGTCTTCCAGCGGGGTGTTCTTGTCACAAGTGAAGATCTTTCGGATTGTCTCATGTTCCTTTTGCAAATTTTTGTACGTGTCATTAGCCTCTCTGAAGAACTTTTAAAAAACATAATACTGGATAAGCATCAGGAAAGCACAATCTAATCACAATCTGTGATAAAAAGCAATAGTGGAGTATGCCATCGTCACCCCTGAGCCATCAAGGAGCCAAGTGTAAAGTTGGTGATGTTGAGGCCAACATTTCATAATAACCAAGATAGCTACTGTCACCAGTTTTAAAATGACTTCACTTTTCTAAACTTTAGTTATCACACGCCACAATCAGATAGGTGGAAGCTAAGGAGTTTCCAAGGTATTTGGAGTCCTATCAACTTTAAAATCTTTTTAAAAAAATAAAAAAAAACTTTGTTCATAAGCATTTGTGTCTTCTAGCCTTTAGATACTGAAAGTTTAACTGCAGTAGTTGAACTTGTTTACAAGATTTTGTATTCCAGTATTTGTGCTGTTTAATGAACACTGATTATAGATGAAACTATTGAACAAAACTGTTAACTTTTAGACTGTGAAGACATGATATTGAGCTTAAAGATGCAGCTAATTGTTAGTCAGGGCATGTCTGAGTCACCTGGCTGTATGCTGCATTCTCCTTCAGATGGGTATCAATGCATTTTGTTATTTGAAGAAGCCAGCTCCACTGAGTCTGCAAAGTGTCCATGTAAGCCTGACAAAAAAGAAAAATAAATAATAAAAACAACATATTAAAAACTGCATCAATGCAAAAAAAAAAAAGTCAGGAGAAAAAAAATCATTTAGTGATTTCTCTATGAGGGTCACTGTTTCCAGACCTCTATCTTGTCAGATCCTGGGTGGTTGTTGTTCAGAAGCGTTTTCACTTTAGCCTTAAGTTTATGCAGCTCCTTGTCTTTCGCCTCCAAGGCACTCATCAGTTTCTGTTACATAAGGAGAAGTTTTAACACCATAAAGCACACAGGAAAAACACCAAGATGCAGTTAGGGGAAAAGCTCTGTGGTTGTTTTTAAGTGAAGGATGAGTGATGGCAACTGACAAAATCTAATCTGCTGGAGATGATTGCTTCCTTATGAAGAGCAAATTAAAGTCATAAAAGACACCAGGAGCTGTTTAGGCTCAAAGCATTTGCCAAGAATGTTAATCTCGTAATTTGAGGTTTTTTAGCACAGAAACAAAAATATTGCTGTTGATGGTTTCACTAACCGAGTAGCTCTCCTGCTTCTTGGGGATGTACTGTTCTACATTTTTGTCTCCCCAGTCAAACATCAGCTCCTCTTCCTCTTTACTGTTCACCCACATGATCTCATTGGTTATCTGCTGAAGTATTTGGATCAGCTCTTGCAGCTGCCCATTCCGCAAATTTGACATTTTCTAAGACAGAAAAAGAGAGTAAGTGTGTGTGTACAACATAATTTTCCAAAAAAATAAAAATCATGCATCATAGCTAATAACGAGTTTTTAGATTCTTTCACCTGTAAATTCTCCCACTCCTGCTCAAGGGCATGTTGGTTGCATTTGTCTTGTCTCTTTAGCTACGAGATGATAATAAATCATTTAAAATTCATTAACATAACACCTCTCAAAACATAAAATCCTTTCCTCGCAAAAGCTTTCTCCAACAAATAGAAATTAAAAAGTATACAAGCATACAATATCCTGTGAGTGTGTGCATAAAATTATATAGCAACTATAAAGGTCATAACAACAACATCAATAATAATAATAATAATAATAATAATAATAATAATAATAATAATAATAATAATAATAATACAATCTCTTTTTTACCTGAGCCCCATCTGAGTGATTGAGTTAGAGAACAGAACTCACCAGGTCTTCTCGGGCTCTGATCATCTCGGGCGACCCCTGCATGGACGCGTGAAACCTCTGGTGGTGAATGAGCTGCTGCTCAATGGATTGAGGGTCGTCGGCCAAAGTAGTTGTTTCAATCAAACGCTGAAACATAAAATAATATATTTTATTGTGAGCTGAGAGTGAAAATCAAACATGTTCACGGGTCTCAAAAAATCTTTCAAAGCATACTTTGAATAAAGCAGTTTGAACGTCTGAACCTACACTCATTTATCTGAATGTTTCCAAGTATGTGAGAAACGCTGTTAAATCGGTAATCTATTAGGGAAATTACCATCTAATTTTGAGCAAATCATTTCCAGAGAATAAACAGCTATTGTATAAAGAAATCCTTTTAAGTGTTACTTAAACTATCGAAAGATTGCTTCATTAACTGACTAAATTACACAAATTTTGATTAATAGATTAATGTATGTGCATCCATTAATCTGTTATTAAATACAATTTTGACTAATTTATTTGATTAATAGTTTAATTTAAACAACTAGATTTTCAGTCAACTAAATAAATTATTTTTGAACAATCATATTACAAAAAAAATCCCATTTTTATTCATAGATTAAGCTGAGTGACATTTTTTTTACATTAATCTCTTAAAATAATAAGCATGTATGCAGTGTGAGGGTAATAAGGGATTGTTGAATGAATGTGGCACATTGACACTACAAAGAAAAGACCTTCAGAAGCAGCAGAGTCTGACAGGAGTCCATCGAATCTGAGAAACGTGTTGCTCAGAATAATTCAATATAGATAATGTAAGAACAATACAAAAACAAACAAAAAAAAAACTTTGCATTTGCAGCATGGAATGGACTTAGCAAGGCGCCAATATGAACTCAGCCCTTTGGACTTGTCCCAGACATTGCTCAGGTGAATGCTGCAAGTTGCAAGCCACGCCCCTCTGGTTCCACGCTACGTGCTGTGTAGGCTCACAAGGCATGTAATCTTTATCAGGAGGTTGTGATTTTATGTTTGTTTTATTAATTATGATCTGCCTGAACCATGTCTAACTACGCAGAGAGGTTCTAGTTGCTTTAAAAAATTCCACATCGCGTTTTTTTCACTGTTTTGTCGCCAGTATGTTTGATGCTCATGCATATCACCAAAAAGCAAGCACCAAAAAACCCCTTACCATCACCAAAATTGTGGTACTCCCAAACTTCAGTCTCCCTCTGTCTCTGAATCTTTAACAACCATTTTGTAAATGCTTACAGCCCAGCTGCAGAAGCACATACCGGTACTTTAGTTAACAAGTTTGTTTAAAGTACAGTTAGGTACATCTGATTAGATGACTTGCAGACAAGATTTTCTTGGATAAGTCTCTTCAAACTTTAGCTTTAACCAGTCCTGCTCACAAAGACATTTGTAAGCGAGGGGAAGGTTGTGTTTTTGCCTTTTACCTATTTTCTTTTCTGTGTGAAAACCCTTTTTTTTCCTCAGTGGAAGCATTGCAGTATTGGTTTAGCACCAATACTGCAAACAACAGCATCTGTAAGATTTTAATAGTTTGTGTATTTGAATAGTTGTGCGCAGTCCTGAAGGAGAAATCAAATTAAAGCTTTCTGTAAACAACTTAAATCCTTCTCAGGCGCTGGAGACTTTGGTTTGGTTTGAGGTTTTTGGTTTTGGCTCAGTTGTAAAGCTTTATGTGTGTCTGAGTTTGTTCCTGCCATTTGCTGATGGATCCAAGCAATAGCATCTTGGTAGCTCCTTGGAGCCTCTTCCCAGCCTCCAGAGCTCTTTCTGGTGCTCCTCCTCCTCAGCGCAGTGCCGGATATGGCCATGTGGACCCCTCTCAGCTGGTCTTGGTAGAACTCCACGCTGCACAACGAGAAGAAACCAGCAACGCATTTGGATTAAGCTATGGGCAGAACATTCCAGACGTTATTAAAGGTGAAATAGTTTTACCTCCTGATTACACTGTCAGTGGGTTGTCCAAATTGATTCATCTCCATTGCAAAGGTTTTTAATTTCTCAATGTAATCTTTTGCCATCATCATGTATTCCTCTGCATCACCAGAGCCCTGTATGAAAGGTAAAAAAATATATATATGCTCAACGTCACAGTTCGCAAAGCTGACGTTAACATGAAAAAACTTTTTTTTTTTTTTTTTTTTTTTTTTTTTAAAAAAAACAAAAAAATTTTTTGAGTACTAATTTTTTAGAACAACAAAAATTTAAAATTTTAAACAAA